TTATTCAGGAAAACTACAAGTGGTTTAGGGTGACTCTGACCTTCAAGAAAAGAAAGGGGGGGAGTCCCTGCCATGGGCTGTCCTGCAAATGAACTCGACACTCTCTTTCTGCCATTAAACAGCTATTGAGTAGACATCACTTCATTTTTTTCTTTCTTCATTGGTATTCATTAGATATTTTTAAATGTCTAATTGCAAGAACTCATTTCAAGAAACTTGAATGTTCATGCCGTGGCATGAAATTTGTGTCCAGTAACTCAGAGCCTGTCTGCTTCCCTACTTAATTTAGAGATATGCTGGTTGGTGCAAGCCTTCTGGTGCCAAAAAATCTTTCATTTCTGAAGTCTTCTAGCCAAGCTCAATGAAAAATAAGCCATAAATACTCATTCCAACGACTCCCCAGGCCGTAGTCACAAAGCTTTTATACTGCATTTACTCAGGACTCCTCAGCCAAAATTATCTTGCTCATTCTTCTCCAGGGTCCTTGGAAATGTCTGTGTCCTCCCACCACCTGGCTCACTGTGTACCCCCTTTCCTTGCAGGCCATGTGTCCAGATGCCAGGTTGAAGCAGTGGGCCCTGATTTCCTGCAGCACTCAGCCTCAGGCTCTCCTGGCTTACTGTGAGGTGATGCTCTGGCCAGAGGCACTTGAGGCTGAAGCCTTGGATTCTGGCTTTTACTATGGGAGGCCCTTGCCACTGGGGTTCAGATATCCAGGTAGAGCTGATGAGTCCCTGGGTGGTGGCCTGCAGGATGGATTTGCAAAGTTGATCCATATGGGGAAAGCGGAGAGGGAGGTCTTAGAAGGATCTAGGAGGACAGGTGGGAGTTCACAAACTTTAATGCTCCTCTCTCCCTCCCCATGAATTGCCCTAGAACCCTTGGAGTTTTAGTCTACATGGGCTAGTCCTGTTTCCAAGGCCACGCATAGACCAGTCACCAGGCAGCCCGCACCAGGATATGCTTGTGTGTCTCAGTGCTGGCTGCCTATTAGAACTCACTGGGGAGCTTTAGAAATACTGATGCCTGAGCCCTGCCCCAGACCATTTAAATCTAGAATTTCCGAGGGGTAAACTTGGCCATTGGTTTTTTTTTTTTTTAATTGAGGTATAACTTAAATAGAGCAAAGTACACAAATGTTAAGTATACAGTTTCATGAATTTTTGCACCCAGGCAACTACTACTGAGATCAATATTCAAGATGTGAAAGCTTCTAGTCCCTCCAGAAGCTCCTTGCCGCAAATATCAGAGCCCATCAAGTCAGGAGCAGGGGCAGCTAGTAACTCTCTTGAACTTTTCTAGTCTTCCCAACTGCTGGGGTAGGAGAGGAAAAAATTCTTCCCCTATCCACCTAAGGTTCAGTGGTGGGAACTCTGTAAATTAGACTGACAAAAGACAGAATAATGAAAGAAAAGCAAACAGAAGTTTATTAACATATGCATCATGCATACACATGGAGCCCTCTGAGACTGAAGAACAAAATCACAGTGTATTCTTTAAAAAAGAGACAAGAAAAGGAAAATGACTTTGAACTTCCAAGGGCAGAGTGTGGGAAGGCACATATCCGGGGAAACTAATGGAAGATAAGGGCTAGTATTAGCAAGGTTTGTGATACAGATTCCTTGGGTGCTGTCTCTGGGCTGATCAGGGTCTAGAGTAGCCTTCAGCGATCAACTTCTGTCCTTCCTCACGGAGAGGGCAGTGGGGGTGGGGGGAATACCTTTACAAATCTCTGGTGTGCTTTTTTGGGCAAATAGGGGGAGGACAGAGAGCTTTTCCTGTATCTGCTCAAAATAGTCCCCATGCCCAAGTGGCATATTTTGGGGAGAGGCGTCTTCTGCTCCCCTTCCCAGGAGACCCTGTGGAACACTCTAGGTCCACCTCTTGGTCCCTGCCCATGGCTTGGTGGGGGAAGGGGATTGCCTAGGACCCCAGGGCAACTCTCTCCCTAGGGTCTTCACTACTAACATTTAGAATGAATGGCTTGAGGACCTGTGCCTGATACCTTCAGAAAAGCCAGAACTCAGGGCACCAGGGTGGCTCAGTCAGTTAACTCTCTGCCTTTGGCTGGGGTCATGATTGCAGGGTCCTGGGATCAAGCCCTGCATCTGGCTCCCTGCTCAGTGGGGAGCCTGATTCTCCCCCTGCCCCCCCCCCCCCCCCCCCCCCCCGCTTGTGCTTGATTGCTTGGTCTCTTTCTCAAATAAATAAAATCTTAAAAAAAAAAAAAAGAAAGAAAAAGAAAAGAGGAAGTCTGATGGTGTGTGTGTGTGTGTGTGTGTGTGTGTTTGTTTTTAGGGCCTCAGGCCTGCCTCTGCCTTGGGTGTTTCTGTTTTTCCCTTTTGACCTGTCCTGCCCGGAAGGTTCAGCACCTTTCCTTAAGAAAGCTGTTTTGTCACTGGCTTTTTCAAGTCCCATATTACCTCTCTGATACTGTTGTTTTGTGTGTGTATAGTAAAATATACATAACATAAAATTTACCATTTTAACCAGTTTTAAGTGTGCAGTTCAGTGGCATTAACTACATTCACACTGTTGTGCAAACCGTCACCCCCGTTCTGGAGTTTTTCGGCATCCTGAACTGAAACCGGGTACCGACCGAGTGGGGAACTCCCCGTGCCCCCCAGCCTCTGGCAACCACCATCCTCCTTTCTGTCTCTGTGAATTTGCCTGATCTAGGGGCCTCAGGTAAGTGGGCTTCACTAGTGTAATGTCCTGAAGGTTCATCTGTGTTGTAGCAGATTACACAATTTCCTTCTTTTTTTTTTTTTTTTTAAGATTTTATTTATTTATTGGAGAGAGTGAGTGAGAGAGAGCATGAGAGTGGGGAGGGTCGGGAGGGTCAGAGGGAGAAGCAGACTCCCTGCCGAGCAGGGAGCCCGATGCGGGACTCAATCCCGGGACTCCAGGATCATGACCTGAGCCGAAGGCCGTCGCTTAACCAACTGAGCCACCCAGGCGCCCAATTTCCTTCTTTTTAAAGGCTGAATAATATTTCATTGTTTGGATCTACTACATGCTGTTCGTCCATTCATCTGGGACACTGCTGTTTCCGCCGGTCGGCTCTTGTGATTAATGCTGTTAGGAACGTTGGGGCACAGATAGCTGTTGGAGCGCTACTGCGTCCGTACTTTTAGATGTTCTTCTGCTGATGCTAACATGCAGCGGGGTTGAATTTCTCTGGCCTGGAGGCTCCTCAGGCTCTGTCCCTAGTCTCAAAGTCAGGTTTCCTCACAGAGCAGCTGGAGAAGCCAGGAGGTGGCGGGACCAGGCAAACCCTTGTACCGTCGGGGCTTCTGATCCATCCCAGGTCACATCCAGAGCTGCCTCCTTGGACATGGTCTCCTGTTTGACTCAGCCACCTCAGCATCCCTGAGCTCCAGAAAGTTCCTGGACCTTTCTGCAGGCTGGCTCTCCTCTTTCTCTTGAGATCAGCACCGCACCTGCAGAGTGGTAGACGGGCGTTGTCTTCCACAAAAGATCCTGCTGCACCCCTCCCCCGCCCCACGGCGGACTTAACCACTAACATGACCAAGAGGGGCCACTCCAAGTATCTTCCTAGAACAACAACCAAAAATCTGCTCCAAGAGGACTTCCTGCCTCCACCAAGCCCCTGAAACGCCGGCAGCCCTTAAATTGCGGCTTCAGGTATCAGCAAAGGTATCAGCTTTGCTCAGCGCGCCCCCCACTGTATTCCCAGGCCTGCCGGGAGACAGGGCCTGGCCTCGGGTCACAACTGCACAGATAGCATGGGCAGAGCTTACCCTGGGTGTGCAGGGGCTGCTGTGCCCTGTGGCCCGGGGAGAGGTCCAGTTCACTGCAGCCCAAGGGGTAGCTGGTGTGGCTCACTGGGTAGTGGGGACCTCCAGGGGCGAAGGCAGCAAAGCCGGTGTCTGCAGGGCTGGCCGCCGGGGGTCCTGGGGCCAGTGCTCTGGGCTGTGACCTCTGCCTCCTCACGGCCTCTGGCAGGAGTGGTGCTGCCAACGCCTGTCTGGGCTTCAAGGGCCAAGACAGTGAGCTCACAGGCTGCCCGGGGGCCTCCTAAGACCTGCACCAGAGGAAGCCAAAGTCCTGGGTGGTGCGAGTGCGGTGGGAGCCAAGGACATTGGAGTTTTTACTGCTAATGGGGGTCCCCTTAGGGACTCCAGGCTGTAGAGGCCTTGGAAAATTCTCATGCACCAACCAACAAACAGTGAGACTGATTCGTAGAGAAGTAGTTTCAAATCTTCCCATTTCCCAGAAGTACAGTCTAATTTGAGTTTCACATTCCCCGGCTCCCCCCGCTCTGGGGGTGCTGCTACAGAGTGAAATGGTCAGGATTCTGAAAGCGAGGCTGGCCACCAGGGGCAGGGGTGCGTGCACATGTGAATTGGGGGCCCTGGAAGGAGGAGCCAGGCTTTTCAAGACGTTCCAGCCTTCTGGTTTTCATAAAGCAATTCTTGTCCTGAGGATGAAACCGGGAGACAGCGAGAGCCCAGTAAACCAGGTCTGCCTGCTGGTGGCCAGAACTGGTCAGGCATTTCTGGGGCCACCACCTTCTCTGGGGCTTATTGAGGTCAAGGTCTTCTCTAAGAAGGACCAGTCAGCAGCAGTGACTGCCTTCTCTTCATCAAAGCGTGAGCCGGATGGGAGGCAGGGATGGGGCCTGGTCAACCCTGGCCAACAATGGGGTATTAGAACTTTCACAAGGTCTTTACATTCATCTTCCCCATGCTAGGCTCTGCTCCCCAACAAGCTTCCAGGGAGCACCCATTTTGTGCAAGTCACACTCCTACGCCCCGCGGAATAGAGAAAGAGATAAGACAGCAAGAAATTTACCATCTGGTAGAGGAGAGAATCAGGCATATAAGGAAAGGAACCAATGCCCCAAATAAAGTGTAGGAGAGGAAAGACTGTCCCTCTACCCTCCTAGATTCGATAGCTGGGTCTATGAAATAAATTGACAGCAGACAACAAGAGAAAAGATACACACACGTATTAATTTTTAATATTATGTGGACAAGGGCATCACAGCGGGAAAAAAAACGAACACCTGAAAAACAGATGAGACTTGAGAGCTTATATACCATCTGAATAGAGAAGGAGAGGGAGATGCAGGTTGCTTAGGGGAGAGTAAATGCTTTGGGGAAAGATGAATGGGCCTTCAGAAGAGCAGACGGGAGGTATGAGGGGGTGACAACGTTTGTCTGGGGCTGGTGTGGACTCGAAGTCTCCTCTCCTGGGATAGGAGTCAGTCTTCCCCGGTGGATGAAACTCCCAGGTTGGGGATTTAGGACAATCGAATTCCTTTTGCAGGCTCTGTCTTTAGGCAGAGGAGGGCAGTTCCGAGAGAGCCTCTCCCTGCATCTGCTGTTTTTCAAGTGCCTTCAGCTCAAAAGAATCAATATACCAAAGCAGCATATTTTTGAACTCCTTCAAAAGTATGAGTAGAAAATGCAGAGTTCTGTTCACAAAAGAAGTAATCGTAAAGCTGTGTAGGATGTTGTTCTGTCAAGGCTGCGGCATTGTTTTTATACAAGTTCGGTATTCTTTTAAATGAAGGAAGAACCTAACAAAATTTTATTAGGGTCAGATGTGTGCTAAGCCCTCTGTGAGCACTAATTTGTGTAGCGGATATAACGACACTAAGAGGAAAGTACTGTCATTATTTTCTCCATTTTACAGACAAGGTTAGAGATGGTTAGAGATGTAAAATACTCTCCCTGGTAAGAAGGGGAGCCAGGACCTTAACCCAGTCTGGGCCAACTCTAAAGCTTGAGTCGTGGATGCGATGCTACGCTATATGTCCAGATGCATCAACGGGCACTTTGGAGGGAGCTCTGAAGAAGGGGGAGCTGACTTTGGTTCTAGTACTATCCAGCCTATGGCCCTAACTCAGTACTATGCCCCAAGGCTTCGGTTTCCTTCTCACTGATTTTAATGGTTGAACCAGATGACTACACATGCACCTTCCATTCACTAAAATTCTCTCAATCTAGGATTTTTAAGTTCTTACACTGAAACCATTTCATGTTCACTCTCTTAAGTGTCTAAATCCCGAAGAACAAGGCAAGCAAGCTGCTGCTGTACTCACCCAGTCTTGGACCTCTGGGAAGGCCGCTAAAAAGGCCGGATGCAGTAACAGCATCGAACGTGGGGTTTCCGAGGTGGGGAGTCACAGTCCCGTTTGGAAGGAACTCAACACCCTTACTCTAACATATACAGTGTGTCTTAGAGTTGACTTCTATGTCAAACAGCCATCAATGGCTTAAACCAAGGAAAGTTTACTTCTCACTTAGGAATAATCCAACCCAAGTTTCCTACTCTTACGGCTCTCCTCCAAGGGGCTTCTCAGGAACCAAGGCTCTGCCTGTTTCCTGGGTCCTCAGAATACTTTGGCTCCAGTTGTAGAGGATCACATGAAAGGCTTTAAGGGAGCAGGAAGTAGCCTCTCACTTCTACCCCATTCCATTGGCCAGAATTGGTCAAATGATCCCACCTACCTTCCCCGGAGAACTGGGAAATGTAGTCTCACTGTGTTCCCAAACGGAAGTTGATTTTGATGACTATATAGTGGTTTCCATAGAAGACCATAAGTAGTCAAGTCAGTCTTTAAAAAACAAGTCATGGAGGCTCTCCTTTGCTGTGCTCTCTGGGTTGTCAACAGCCATCTTCCCATCATGACTGTTCATAGTACTAACTTGAGTGTCCCTTGGCAAGAATAACATGACCCCCCCCTTTTGGGTCTCTAAGAGAAGGTAATAGGCCTATCTTTCTTTCTTCCTTCTTTTCTTTTTAAGATTTATTTATTTATTTGAGAGAGAGAGAGCAGGGGTGGGGGCAGAGGGAGAGGGAGAGAGAATCTCAAGCAGACATCACACTGAGCTCAGAGCCCGACTCGGGGCTGGATCCCATGACCCTGAGATGATGACCTAAGCCAAAACCAAGAGTCAGACACTTAACTGAGCTACCCAGGCGCCCCTCTTTCTTTCTTTTTCAAAGAAAAGTAGACTGCCACAGGCAGCACCTCATTTGGATGTGTCTGGAGTCTTGGAAGCTTGACTATCCTAGGTTCTTCTACAAATGGACCTTGAGAACTTGTTTGGATATTCTAGCAGGAGCGCAGCTACTCGTAGACCCTTGACCCAAGGAACAGTCCTCCTCTACGGGGGAAGGTCATCCTCTTCGGCTGAGTGTATAGCTTCAGGAGGGACACACTGAGTAGTGAGGGAAGAAGGGGACACTCACCTAGCCAGCCAGATCAGCCAAATCAACCCTGGTGATCAGTGGGATGACAGATGTCTCAGCCAGATTGCCCTCACATCTGGTAATAGGCCTTTCTTACAGTGTGTAATAGGACTTTCTTCAATGTCTTGTCTTGAAGGTAATAATAGTACCTAGCATTTATTGAGCACATATTATATAATGAGGCACTTAAATCACTATCTTAGGGTTGGGGCAGATCTCATGGTCTGGATGAAATACATAGAATTGAATAAATGGTTTTTACTTCTAGTTTTAATGCCCATTCTGCTGGGTGGCAGAAACTTAATTCCAGATGATTTTGGCTCCTGCTCTATGCCAGGTTTTGTCTGAGTTTCCAGGTGATGGGAAGTAGCTGGGATTTGATGTCCTGGTGTTCATCCACTCATAGTGGCCTCTGCCATTACATCCTTTCAAGTGAACAATTGGAGTTTAATGTCCTTTATGCAAGGCAAAAACAATCCGTGGATGGGGGGAGTCATGCCTCACTAGCAGCAGAGCACTGTTCCCAAGGGTGTTTGGGCGAGAGTGAGCTTTATAGGGTGTTAGAAGGGGCAATGCGGAAACAGGGCACGATTGATGAGGGTTTCCTTCTCAAGTTGGCAGGTCCTGTTTCCTAGGGTAAGGTAAGCTAGCTGAAGCTGAGTTGGAGGACTGTGATTGGTGCATGTTAGGTTTCCTTGACAGATGTTTTTCCTAAGCACAGACCTGGGTTTAGATTTGTGACGTGAGCCTCCATTTTGTGGGTCCCGATGTACAAATTAACTTTATCAATCCGAACTGCCAGACTTGACATTCCATCAGGCCCCTGCCTGGGTTACTCCTTGGCTCCACACCTCAAAGCCATAGTTTTCTCTGCTACCTCAAAACTACCTCCCACTTTACCGAGAACAAGCCACAGTTTCCGGCACCTGGAGAGATCCTAACACTCCCACCTCTCCGCTCAGCCCTTCTGCCTGACGAAGTCTACTGCCCAGGAGCCAGGAGGCTCCGCTGCCCCACCTCCCCGGGGCAGTCCTCTTTCTCAGGGACACTACTGCTGATGTTTGGCCTCCCCTTGGTTTCTCTCCTCCCTTCCATAGCCTTGGTAATCTTTGTAGGCCTACTTCTCTGTTTTTCCGTGTTTAACATTTATGCCCCAAAATTGATGCTTCCATCACTCAAGGGTTAAATTTCCAGTGCCAAAGGCCTCATTTGTACCACTCCTAGGTAGTTTTGTGGCTTTTCTGCCTTATCACTCCTCCCCTGAGGCAATAAAAGCTAGCTGACTTCAAGGCGATGATAAGGAAAGACTACAGACCAGATCAGGAGGAGGGTGAGAGACGCTAGGAAATAAATACAGTTTAAAAAAAAAAAATTGTAAATTCGTCAAAATATTTTCCTGTCACGATCTCATTGAAGTCTCAATGGCTGCTTTCTGATGCAGTTGCCATGACTACCTCTACTGGACCCATGAAGACACTAAGCTGTATTCTCAAGATCTACTTTGCCAGGATGCTTTCTGGGTGTTTGGTGGATGAAAGAAGTTATTATCATTTTGAATTGGTAGAAAGTTAGGAGAAGGGCCATTTACAAGACATTCACTGTTATTACTTTTAAGTGCCGACACAAACTAACTGATACGAAATCTTATCTAATGGAGACAAGTCTTAGACTTTTTTTAACAAATACCTAAGGCACACTTGAAAATTCTAAGGAAGCCTATTATTTGGAATGGATAAAACAAAAGGTTGGGAAGTATCCTCTTAATTAAGTTAAACTCCTTCTTGCAATCTCTTCTAATGATTTGCTTATTAGGAAAATCCTTTTATTTACCAACAGTGTGAATGTAAAGTTTGCTCAATCATTCAATAAATATCGACGGAGGCCTTTTGAGGCTGAGTGCGGACAGTAATTAGGTTTTAAACTCTCCAATTTGCAGCATGAAGATTCTCTAAGTTGCCTCCTCCCCTCAGCTTTGAAATCTTTTTCTCAAATTTAACAGCAAGGTTTCTTTAGTCAATGGATACTTGAAGCAGAAGGCTCTGCACCAGAGGGGGGCTCTGGGAGCCTCGCAGAGGAGAGGGGTAGGGGGCCAGGGAAGGGTGGTGCTTATTAATGTGGGAGGAGCCAATGCCGGGCATGGTGCAGGCGTCAATGAGATGTCCGAGGGAGGGACAGAAACTGCAGGGGAGCCAAAGGAATAGAGTCCCCTCCAGTCCCTCTGGGGACAATGCCCCCATTTTCCAAAGATGCTCCTTACTGACCTGTCTTGACCGAAGCTCGGTGCGCCAGGATGACTGGGCTTTTCTTATACCCCAGTGAAACCCATCACACCTTGGTATCATAGCACCAGACAGCACAGCTGAGGAATCTGGAGAAGCAAAAGACACAACAGAGACAAACCAAAGTAAGTGTGCCGTTGAATTCTTGGAGATGGCAGGTTACTGTAGGGACAGCAGTCAAGGCTGGGTGGCAGGGGCTCTCACTTCTAAAAGGAACCATGGTAAAAAGTTATTTTTGGAGCTCGCAGACCTTTGCTCAGGATGCCAAATAGCCTCCAGAGAACTCCTATCCTAGGCATCCGGGTTCAACGAGGGCTCATCATCTCTCTCTCTCCCTCTTTTTTTTTTTTTAAGATTTTATTTATTTATTTGACAGAGAGAGTGCGCACAAGCAGGGGAAATGGCAGAGGGAGAGGGATAAGCAGGTTCCCCACTGAACAAGGAGCCCAATGCGGGGCTTGATCCCAGGACCCTGAGATCATGACCTGAACCGGAGGCAGATGCTTAACCGACAGCCACGCAGGCGCCCTGAGGGCTCATCATCTTAGGGTGGAAGAATCAGCCGCCTCAAAAGGAGGGACAGCTGGGTACCTCTGAGGGTTTGCAGGCCCGGGGTTCAGTGGTTCTGAAGGCACTCACCTTCTGTTAGAAAAGACGGCAGCTCCCTGCTTGGTGCAGACGCCACTGGCATCCTTAACAGGAAGTATCTAAGTGGAGTTGATATTGCCACCTGACTGCCTTTTCAAACACCAGAATCAGTAACGGCCATTTCCGGTAGCTGAGCAGGTGCACAGTGAGGTCTGAAGGTGACTATGAAGGAAGGAGCCAGGTGACCTGGATTCGGATCCTGGCTTCACCACTTTCCAGGTATGGTAGATTAAGGATGGCTGCATATTCTTTTCACGCCTCCTCCCCTGAAGAGATGGAGTCCATTCCCCATGTTCCTTCCCTTGGCTGGGCCTGTGGTTCGCTTTGGCCAAGAGTGAGCAGTAGAAGTGCTGGGCTGGCACCAGAGGGGACCTGCAGCTTCTGCCCCCGCCTCTCCGAGCGCTCGCTCTCGGGACAGCCCCTGGCGGAGAGGCTCCCTGTGACACTTTGAGTGACGGCTCCAGCTTTCATTTGTTCAACCAAGGGGTGTGGGGACATCCAGCTCGGTGGAGCCTCCACGTACCTGCAGCCCCAGCCAACATCTAACTGCAGGTGCCTGAGACCCCAAGTGCGAACCAGCCAGACACCTCCAGAGAACCTTAGGCCACCCAAAGGGCTGCTTCAGGCCCCTGCCTGTTGAGTGTGTACAGAGTATGACCTCGGGTGAGGTACGTAACCACCCCGAGGTTTCGCTTCCTTCTGTAAAATGGGCAGAACGGCCGTGACGACTTCCCAGTGCTTGTGCTATGAATGTGATAATGTGAAGGGCCGAGCACAGTGGCCGGCACAAAGTAGGTCTTCCAGAAACGCCAGGCTTCTTCCCACGCCTTCTCCAGGAGGTTATATATCCCAGGTGTGAGTGAATCTTGGCTGCGGCTGAACTTCCTGGGCAAACACCCAACTGCCCTCAAAAGGAATGCCTGGGATCGGATTCGAAAATGGGGCTGGAGAGAACTTGACTGTTTTTTTCTTTCTGAGGCAACCTGCATCCCCACTTTAGGAAAAATATTACCACGTTGTAGGAGGAAAATTTTAAGTTTTTAAAGATTTCTCCTCGATTTAAGGGATTGCAAGAGGAAGTTTTCTCCTCCTTCTTTTTAACCAGAAATATGCTTGCTCACACTGAAAAGTAGCGCCATGAAAGAAAACAACTCCCCTTCTGTTTCACAGCCAGCAGGTTTTCTTCATCACCCCGGCCCCAGAGAGCCACAGATTGCATAGCAGGCAGACTTTGTTGAACAGATGAACAACTGTGGCTTAATCTGTTTGGGAAAAAGGAAAAAAAAAAAAAAAAAAAAGTCCTGAAGCAATTGATAAAGAGGCTGAGAGGCTGAGGTCAGTGTGAAGGAAGAGTAAAGGAGGCCAGATTGGGGAGCGTTGAAACCTAAGCCTCTTTCACCCCCTGTCCTGAATTGGGTGTGTGAGTAACAGTCAGGACGAATCTGCTGGGAGAGGGACTGAGAGCCTCTTGGACTGCCTGAGTTTGGAGTCATGTTTTCGTTATTATTCAAAATGACTTTATTTATTTCATCGATTCGCTTACTCTACTACCCAAAACAATTTTTTTTTTGTTTTGAAAACTGTATTCGAGTATAACATAGAAAAGTACATGAATCTTAAGTACAGGCAAATGAAGGTTCATAAACTGAACACATGGTGTAACCAGCGTGCGGGTCAAGAACAGAATATTAGCGGCACCTAGAGCCACCCCCCACGGGGAGAATCGCTATCCTGACTTATAACCTCATTGTTTTTAGTAGCTCATACACATTCATGTGTGTTCTTTTAGGGACATTCTACACAGATGCAAGAATACAGATGTTATTATTTTACACAAATGTAGTAGAAATGTATTTGGCTCACTAGGTAGCGTATTATCCAGGATGGTCTGCCTCTGGCTTTTTTCACCTTTATCTTGGTGATCATTCTGTATCACTACGTAGAAAGCGGCTAGGTTTCTTTAGTGGTCACACAACATTTCATTGTCTGAATGTACCACAATTTATTTAATTGTATTAAAAGGCATCAAGAGGTTGTGTTCAACCTTTTTGGAGTTGGCTTTTTTTTAAAGTATTCTTGAGGTATCTTTGTTGTCCTTTAGATTTAAGGTGGCAACTAGGTGTTGCTCTCTGGAAGCCTTAAAAATACTGCTACGAGTTCCCACTCAGTTCTGGAATATGTTGGGTGTGGTACCACCTGGGGTGGTCGCCTCTTTTATTGCCTTGTCCTGTTAGGACTCAGTTGTTCCATGTTTGAATGTGTATCCAGGAAGTGGAAATAATGTCCCTGACACCCCCACTTCCTTTTCTGGCAAATCAGCATCCGGGGAATGAATCCAACTGCTTTCACCCTCCTCCCCCATCTCAGTTCAGCATCTTACCCAGCATTGTCCTGGCTGAGAGCTGGAGGTTTTGGAAGTTGGACCTCAAGAGCTCTTCCAGACAGGACTAGTGGGAGGAATTATTGTTCATTTTGATCAAGCCAAGCCCTCCCTTTCTGCCTGCCTTTTCCTCCTGTGGGTCTTTTCATCCCTCATCTCCAATCTCAGCCTCAGTCTCTGGGCCCTCCCTGCTCGGAGCTCAGCTCTCCAAATAATTTCGACTTTGTGTGAGTTCAAGTTGGTGCCTACTTCTTTCTCCTACTGGTATTTGCTCTTTAAATTTCTTACCTACCATATTTATAGAACAAAATATTTATTGTCTCCTTCAGGCTTTTTGATTCCCTGACAGAAGGAACAGTTACATATTTGGGGTTGGGGCAATCTCCTCTCCTCCCTCCTTCACTACCAGAATCCCACCTGTCCTTTCCCAGCCCTCAGGGACAGGCAGGAAGGGGCAGGCCTAGCCGGGTCAGGACCTTGGGGTGAGGTGGGACTGTCTCAATATCTCTTACCTATATCAGAGAGGCAAATGCCACCCCCTCTGTGCAAAGGGGTGCCAAGGCGGAGCTGCAGAATTGTGTCCTCCAAAGGCAGGGTCACAGGCAAGTATCGGGGACGGGGAAGGCTGCATTCAGTGCAGGAGGGAAGTCCTCAGGGGTGTAACACCGGGAGGTAAGGATTACTGCCTCACCTCTTGGAACCCGCAACCACGCCTTCTCTGAGCCTCAGTGAAGGCAGTAACAGTGACCGCCTTGTAGCGTCGTAATAAAGATTAAATGAGTTGATATATAGCCACGGTAAGCGCTCTATAAACGCTAGCTCTAATTATTATACGAGGTGGCCCAGACACAGCGGCCCCAGCGCCGATTACCAGTGGCCACATTAGCTCTGTCCCTGTTCCATTCCTCCTCCCGTGACTTGGCCTGTTCTCCTGACTCTGCTGAGCACACAGCTCAGGCTTCCCAGCCTAAACCTGTTCCTGGTCTCCGCATCCCCTTTCACGCCCCTCCCTCTTGCCTGCTGCCTCCACCAGGAAGCCTTCACTCCTCACTCCTCCTCGGCAGGATCATCACTGCCTGGCCCTCCTCTTGGGAAGGACAAAAAGCCCACCGCAAACCAAGGAACATAAAACAGCTTCTTCCACCAGTGCTTTTGTGTCTCGTTGTCCCCTTGGTCTTGGCATTGTCCAGTCTCCTTCCAAAGTCCCAACTCTAGGATCTCCCTGCCCCTCTCCTCTTTGTGTGCCCCAAGGACAGTCTGGTGGGAGAGGAGAAGGATGCACAATCCCGACCCTTGGGGACTCTCCTGAGATCAATGATGGCTAACACCTCTCTATCTACTGGTACCCACGTCTGTGCAGGAAGATAAGAGCAACAGAACTGAACAATTTCCCGGTGAGGACCTGCTACAGAGCCTGCACTGTTCCAGGCATTTTACATTTTACTCTTTCATTTGATCCCCACAGCAGCGCTCTGACCCAGATGTTAGGACCATCCTGGAGATTTCCATACCAAGGCTCAGAGCACCCGCTATAACCTATCAAAGGCTTCATCACTGCTAAAGTAGCAGAAATGGGATTTGAACCCGGATCTGCTTGACCCCAGAGTCCAGGAGGACTTCTGCTAGGAATAACATTTTACATTCTGCTTTGTATTTGGATCAACTAGCCCAAGAAGTGGTGTTTTCTACTTTTGAACTTGGCAGGCACAGTGGATTCGCTGAGTCCCTAGTCTCAGATATCGTCTTAGTAACACCTGGGTCCCTTCCCCGCTCTGCTGTGGTGCCCAGCCCCAGCGCTTCCCACCCCCACTCCAAGCCCAGACTGGTCTCCCAGAGCAAACCTTTGCCTTGCCTCAGCTGGGACTCCACATAGTACAGGTCCCAGAGCCAGAAGTCTTGGGGCTGTGCCCGAAGCGAATGGAGGTAGTAGCATCTAAAATCAGCACTTGCTGGGTGCCTGGCCGGCTCAGTCGGGAGAGCATGTGACTCTTGATCTCAGGGTTGGGAGTTCAAGCCCCATGTTGGGCGTAGAGCTTACTTAATTTAAAAACAACAGCAACAAAAAACCCAGCATCTTGTCTGAATACATTCAAATTTAGTAGGATTTGAAATCAATGTGTGTGGAGTATTATGTATCAAGTGTGTGGGGCATTAGCCTAACTAATTACTCGATTTGCGCCAAGTTCTCTACTTCCTACCCGAGAACCTGTAAGAAGAGCCTGGTGTCAAGAGAGTCTGCAGACAGAAGCGGATGCATGCCTTGGAAATAGAGGAATGTTTTTGGATTTATTCACTTGTCAGACAAATATTTATTAAGTCCTTGCTATGAATCAGTCACTGTGCTAGGCATAGAGGACAAAGATGAATAAACTGGATGATTCCTGCCCCCCAAGGAGTCCACAGTTAATTACAATTATTATCCACATTTCATATTATCCATACTTTATACCCAGGCAAGTGAAGTCCAAAGATGTTAACCACTATATGTAAGACCAGGTATTTTTCCAGAAATTACTGTTCAGAAAAGAGGAAAATACTTTATCTCTGGGTATAAAGGAATCACACACTCCTATGTGCCCCCTTTACTACTCTCACTCAATACTTCTGACATTTCTGGTCACCAGGGTGTGGATTTTCCGCACATCAAGCCATTGTGACACCAGCTGGGTGTCCTACAATTTAACTCCATTCTGACACTCTCTACCTGCAGGTAGATCCCACCGGGTAAGGGCTCAGTCCCATGAGACTGTCCCCCTTCCTCCTCATCTCAATGCAGACACCAATCACAAGTCCAGCTTGTCACCTGGGCTTCTGACCAACTGGCTATAAATCAGAGGTTCCCACAAACCCCCTCTTAATTGATTTGTTAGAATGGCTCACAAAACTCAGGAAAACACTTTGCTTACTACACTACCAGTTCATTATAAAAGGATGTAACTCAGGAGCAGTGAGATGGAAGAGATGCATAGGGCAAGTTACGTGGGAAGGGGTGCAGATCGTCCACCACCTCTCTGGATACACCTCTCTCAGGGCCCCTCCACATGTTCACCAACTTGGAAGATTGTTGAACCATGTCCTTTTTGGGTTTTTATGGAGGCTTCATTATACAAGCATGATTGATTAAATCATTGGCAATTGGCAATCAATTCAACGTCCAGGTCCTCTCCCCTCCCCAGAGGTCAGGCGGGTGGTGGGGAGAGGGGTGGGACCGGCTGGACCCCCGGCAACCAGCCCCCATCCTAAGGTCATCTTGGGACTTTCCAAAAATCACCTCATTCATGTAAACTCAGGTATGGTTGAAGGGTCTTTTTATAGGAATAGCAAAAGACATCCATTTCTCCTTTATGGCTCTTATCACTTAGGAAATTCCAAGGTTTTAGGAGCTCTGTACCAGAAATGGGGACAAAGACCAAATATATATATTTCTTAATATAAATCACAATATCATAGCATCCTTGCATTGTCTCACATGTTACGCCAATGCTTTCTAAATTGCTTTATATTTAACAACCATGTTACAGTTTGAGGAAGACATTAGCTTAAAATATCCTTAATTCATGCCAGTTTTGGAAGCTATGGAAGCTTTTGATACAAAAAGAAGTGAGGAAATGTAACACAGATTTGTTAGTTATTCCTGGGAATGTGACTTCACATTTGCGATGCTGAAAGTCGTCATAAACAAGCCTTTTATGATCACTTTAAAAAGCAGAACAGTGAGTAGTTATGTTGGAGAGACCAGAGCAAACATGAGCTAATGCTATGCGAATGGGCACTTTGTAGTTTGGGCTAAAATTTCCAGTGACCGCATCCCATACCGGGTCCAGGAGAATCTCCGGCAATCCAGACAAGTTAGAATGCCTCATAAAGGGCTCTTGACAATGA